TCTTAGCGTTGTAGATTCGAATACATGTGATAAAATTCGAACAATAAGGGCCCGAATCACATGTAATAATGCAAGAAATATCGATTTTCGTTATCTTAAAGGCTACTAGTAAAGATAGACAAACAAGAAGACTTCATATCTTTAAGACTTTTTGCATTTATTTGGCATCAGATAATACACTAATAATTCTAGTATATTCTGACCAAATGACCTCTGAAGCCCGAACCCACAACTAGTGCGCTTGGGCTGCCTGTGCTGAAAGGGACACCAACATGGCGTTTCGATACAAAGCTTTATAAATTTAGGTAAACCGTTTTTCCTAATATCTCGCATTTGAAATATTTTACAGACCTGATTCTTGGCAAGGGTTTTTGTATATTTATCTTTTTTCATTTCCCAGATTCTAGTCCTGCTGTATTGAATGGTTTGCGTTTTTATTTTTCATTGCGTGACAGTGCAAGCCGAGAATACCCACAGAAATCCCTACTTAACTCAAGGTACCCAAGAAAATGCTTGCCATAATTTTCCAACCCCCTAAAATCCCGAAATCGAATTTCAAACCCAAAAAGAGAGAAGGAGAAAAAGCCGGTACAAGAGGAAAAAAAGAAAGAAGAGAGGGATCGATATTTATGTTAGAAATAGCCTAAGACCAGGTCCTTTATAACTAACAGAGACCGAAAGGGGCGAATAACAAGGAAAGGCCAACGCCCCTCGCTAAGTTCGGTTGACTCGCCGAATTTTTTTCGCCTCATTTATTCGTCTTTTTTCCCAACACAGGATCCTGGTCCCATGTCACGTTATTCTGTAGTTACTGCAGTTACGAAAAAAGAGCTTCTTGATAGATTTCTGGGCACTTCTTACAAATAAACTGGAAAAGCATGAGACAAACAACTTGTGATTTTGATTTTTACTTAATTACACTCAAATAAAACAAAACTCCATGATGTGTTAACTCAGAGCCAAGCAGTGTTTGCTGGTGAAGTCCCTATAGAATGAATTCACCTCTTGGCCTCTCTTAGTTGTTCTTTCTTTTCTATGACACACTATTTAAATAGTTAACGCTACATAAAATAAATAGGTATTGGGACCCGCCCTGCAACAAAGTAATAACACTGTGTACGCCATAAAATGAAATCCATTTTGTTCATACGTATGTACAAAATGCCCGCTTATTTCGGTACACGCCTATATTCGCTACAACGCGAACGTACGTGAATTCTGTGTAGCTATTTTACATTAAATTTGGTTTAAAAAACGCCACCAGATTCGTCCATGTGTCACAGAAAACGCAACTGTCGAGTTAAGACGGAGTTAATATATTATAAGCCCAACAAAACGGCCGACATTTCACGACACCAAATGACGGGGAAATCGTCATTTTTGCATCCGGCTGTTTTATCAGGCTAGATATTATGGTATGCATCAATTTAAAAATGAAGAGTCACAACAATACCACTTATACTAAAACTCTTCAAACTATGCAAACGAAAAGCGTAAGAATAAATACTGGCTTTTAAAATTTCGACGCTGATGACAAAAGTAAAAAGAGAATTGTTACCTGGAAATACAGTGTGACCCACATTAATGTATTATACAACTGCACATCATAAACATACAGAAGACAAAGTTATGAGATCCTGGCGACGTAACGTATCTAAATTAAACTGCTCTTCCTGGTACTACTGACATCAACAAAAAGGAAATGCTAGCCTTTCAAGCTCATTTGTAAATTATCGTTGAGCATGTTGGGTATGCAAGAAAAAACATAAAATAACACTCTCGACAGACAAAAAAAACTTTTACAGTTTGCTAGGAAGCTCTCCATTTGGAAAATCGCAACAGGCAAAAGGTCACCTCAGGGCCGCAAAATGTATGGCTGGACGGAAGTTCTTGCCGAAGCAAAATAAGGCAAATTTTGGCCATGAATAATTTTTTCATAGGACACACGACACACGAACCAAGTGTCTAGGCTGTAGTCTCCCACACGGCCGTCATTTGGATCGCCACGCGAAAGCAGTACATAATCTTTAAGATGACCAAAGGATTTCATCCACCTACTCAAAAGTTTGAACAATTTTAACTAAATAAATAGTACCATGTGAAGGTGCAGCTTAGGAGGTTTCTTTCGAATGGTCACACTGCAGTGTTTGACAGGGTTCGAAATTGCGACTGATACGGTCGCCAGTGCGACTAATATTTTCTCCTAGGCGACTAAAAATTCGGGTTTACTTAGTCGCCACTTTGGCGACCAGATTTCTCTATGATTTAGATTTAAATTAAACGAGTAAAGTTAAAAAAAAACATTTATCTTATCTTTCAATGCTTTCGTCATAAAAAAATGTACCAAATCGCATAAACAAAGCAAGTTTACCTCCAAATTTTCAAACAATCAAATCTGATGGATCACGCAGTACTTTGAGCCGCGACATTTACATTATACAAACTGGCGACTGCATTTTTCCAGTTGGTCACCTAAGGGCGACCAAAGGACTTTTTTAAATTTCGAGCCCTGTTTAGTCTGAAGACTCGGACGACAAAACATCTTCCAAGACTCCATAATTCACTCTGGGAGTGAGAAGAAGCCGGGTTCATATGTGCAAATAAAAATAACTTACTAAAGACCAGCTAAAGCAACTTTCACTATATTACACCTACAAGTTACTAAAGCAAGTCCCATCTATTTTACTGCAACAGCTTTGTTTAAACTGTCATAACTCCAGGCACATCCTCAGTGACTCCGCCTTCAGATGCCATTGATGGTGGGGCATTTCCTGTTTGTGCACCGTATGAATATGGAGGAGGTCTCTCTTCACTCTTCATTGCCTGCTATTAAAAATGGAGTTAAAGATCAGACCAGAATACATTCAAATATGACAATGATAAGTTAGACAAGGATGGCAAGATGGCAAGAATGCTTATAAATCTGTGGATAGTGCAACAATAACCAACGTATAATCAGGAATGTGACATACAATGTATCTGTACTTTTAAATGCAAACAGTAAAACAAACAAGATTCACCTAGTAAGATCCAAGATGGGGACCTGAATTACAAAACATTTACTTACAATAAAACTTCCCTACATTTTGTGCATTGTTTTCTTACATACATATACGGCTCTTATATGGAGTCAAATTTTGCAGATTTTATTTTAATGCTCCCTTGTTTTTCCTGCATGATATTTTGAGTAATTTTTGTCTGAAATTTAAAAAATTCCGAAACTAAGTTAGAATAAGGTGGTAGGAGTTAAGATCATGCACAAAACGTTTGAAATATCAACACAGAAATTTTCTTAAATAATTATTGGTTGAGAGACTTTTGATCAAAGATCAAAGCATTTTGCCACAGTAATCATTAATTCTCATATCTTTCTCTCTTGATTATGTATTGACATTGTTACGAGAAATTGATGTTGGTCACTCCTGTGAGTTAAACGGATAAAAATAACTAGTGTGTTACCTGAGCTCCTCCCTGGTTTGGAGCAGTAGCCCCAGCATAGGACATAGGGGCTGTACTGGGATAGGGGTTGGCTCCAGCTGGAACTGCTCCACCAGGCATGGCCCCGGCTGGTACAGCCCAATAACCTGCAGGCTGCTGAACAATAGGCTATGAGATAAGACAAAAACAACTAAGGACCTGATTAATCTCTTAACAACATCAGGTCCTTACTTGTTCAAACGAAGGATCATGCTATCCACTGGATAAATCACCATCCAGTGGACAAGTATTGAGGGAATCAGTTGCTTTTTCTACTGGATAGATATCTAATGGATAGCATTATCCATCTTTTGAGCAACTGGGGCCAGAAAATAATAATGTATTCTTTGATAACCAAGATAATATTGAAAACAAAACAATGCAGCCTGAATTTTTAGTTCGAATCTTCCTCTTAACAGATAGGACCTCTACCCAGCTGGTCTGCATTTGATTTTTTAAAAAAGTATCTAAAGGGCATTAAATCAGAGTTACCTTAGCCTGAAGTGATGACCAGAAATAGTCTGCGCTTCGCAGGCTAGAGTTACCTAGGCAACTGCACCGTTTTCCAGGTATTCCTTGTTTACCCTTTGTTCCTTTGCTTTGTTTTTCTATTTTGCTTTTTATTTATCTTTGATATTTTTGGGTACGCAAGTACATACTAGTGTATAGGTAGCTGCCCCAGTTATATCCAACAAGAACCCACTGTCATTAAGCTGTTACCCCTTTAAACTCTTAGATCAAAATAAGAATTCTCATTTGTTGCCCCTATTCATTTCCTACAAAAGTGGTGGGGAGAAGTTGATAAAATACCAAGCAAATTCATAGACTGTGTGATCATGTCCAGAATTCTCATGATTACTCTGTTTCACAAAGCATTGATATTACGAGGAGAAATTTGATGCTGATCACTCTTAGGGCTTAAAGGGGTTGTGTCATGGTTGTCTAGTTAATCTTTTTAATATACCATTAATCCTCTATTAAGTCCCCTGGGGGCTTATTTATTTCAAGCACATTTGAGGGGGGGGGGTGTTAATGGAGATGGGGGGCTTATTTAATTTATAAAAGACGATAATATCAGCTCTCCATAAAGAACTAGAATACGAAGTGGAAAAGCTAAGTACAAGAACGTTGGAGGTCACACAGCCAAGGATCAGAATTAAATCCAAACTTCCAGTTGATAAATAATAAGCCATCCTGGATGGACAGTCCACAAGAAGTTTTACAGCCGTGATTGATTAATACAGTCTATCATTTATTAGCGAAGAAAAATTAGGGGAGGGGGAGGTTTAATAGGGTGGGGGGGGGGGGCTTGTTAAGATTTACAGTATGCCAATTGCGTGTCCTTAATTGCCATGGAAATTGATAAATTACTTGTCAAAAGTAATAATTACTTGTCGCAAAGCTGTGATTTTTGCTACTCGCAATGTGAGTAGCAAAATCACAGCTTTGCGTCAAACAAATGTCTCCCATCCCATCCCATGCCATCCATTTCAATCTTGTTCATGTTTGTTCATCTGTTCCTCATATTATTTATACCTTCCTTTCTTGATATGAGTGATTAGTTATGTGTTTCACTCAGTTTGTTGGTGGTGACACAGCTCCTCTAATATAGAGCATTAGTTACCTGTGGAGGTATGACGAATGTTTGCTGTCCTGTCATTGAGTAACCATGAGAGACAGTTGCCACGGCACCACTTGGTTGAATAACCACAACACCAGATTGCCCCCCTGGGTACACTTGTTGAGCTCCAACATACATCACTTGCTGGTTGGTAACCTACATTACATTTAAAATAACAAAAGTATAATTATTTATTTGTAAGATAACACTTTTAGGGATTTTAGAGAAGCTGCAAGGCTGAGCTAATAGAGTGCTGGGAGAGCAAGGGTGGCACAATGGTGAGAGCACTTGCCCCCCACCAATGTGGCCTACGTTTCAATCCTGGCGTCAATGCCATATGTGGGTTGAGTTGGTTGTTGGTTCTCTCCCTTGTGTAAGAGATTTTTGTCCAGGCACTAAGGTCTTCTCCTCTCCTTAAATGCGAAAGCAGTACATAATCTTAATGATGACCAAAGGATTTCATCCACAGACTCAAAAGTTAGAACAATTTTTACTAAATAAATAGTACCATGTGAAAGTACTGATTAGGAGGTTTCTTTCGAATGGTCACATTGCAGTATTTGGCAGGGCTCGAAATTGCGACTGATATGGTCGCCAGTGCGACTAACATTTCTCCTTGGCAACTAAAAATTCTGGTTTTTGTCCAGGCACTCCGGTTTTCTACTCTCCTTAAAAACCAACACTTTCAAATTCCAATTCGATCTGGAGCACACGGACATGTTTCAATGAGTTTTTAAGAACTCCTAAGTGCTCTGTGGGTAAGCAAATGACAATTTACAATTTTTTTTGGCCTTGTAATCGGGAGACCCCTAGTTCAATCCTCATCCTAACTGCTTGCTGGATTTGTTCATAGTAGCTATGAGAGAGTGAAGTTCCTTGGCAATACTTGTAAAATAGTCAACTAATTAATTCACCTCCTGTCAGTTGAGGTTCTTTACCTTGCTGTGTTTCATTTGAATTATTTGCTTCATTATCCAAGAAAAATACCACAAAGGAAGTGGATAATGAAGTGTTTAAAAAACAAATTGACACAGCAATGAGTACAAGAAGGGTAAACCAAATGAGAATCATGCTACTTACAGCACCCACAGCAGGAGCTCCACAGCACACTGCATTGCAGCAATAGATGGCAGAAGCAAGGGCAACAAAGAAAACCACAATGGAATAAATCAGTTGGCAAGAACCCAACCCTGCACCAACTGAAGCTTCATAGCGCTCTGATTTTGAGTAACAGAATATGTTAGAGTAATAACCATAATAATCATAGTAATTACGATATTTCTGGCAACGCATGATATGGGAAAATTGCCCGAGAGCAACACAGTAGCAGATGAACATGATTCCAGTAATGACACAGGCAGTGATGGAGAATCCCATGAAACATCCAATCTGTTGACAAATGCAGATTTAATTCAGAATGAAAAGCCTCTATCAATAATCATAATTTATAACAATAAGAATGGTAACCATATGTGAAACCCACATTCGCCACTTTAGAAACAAGAAGAAACTGGGCCGAGTTAACTCGACTTCTGAGATGGTTACCAGGGACAGTGGAAAAATTGGCTAACAGCTGACCGGTGAGTCCCCAGTAGCTTAAAATATGATAAGAAAGTTTATGAAAAAGCATATGAAATAACTTGTAAGGCAAGTCACATGTGGTGTTATTACCCTGGGTACCAGAGGTTTTCTCTCATGCAGCAGGATGCTTTGGCCAACACATCTTCGGGTGAAGCCACAAGAGAAAACCTCTGGTTCAGAGCGATGACATTAATTATTTTACTATCCCTGTTGAACTTTGAGCTTTTTAATTGCAGAACATTTGAACCAATCAAATCGAACGTCTCCCATTGTGATCATATGGATTGGCACGTGAAGTAATGCCAGAAATAAGTTTTCAATTACAGACAAAGAATACAGGAATACATGTAATTTTGACAAATTTTGATGTAAAATATAATTTGCAACTTTGTAATTATACTAGCATAAACAACAAAGTCTCTGCCATACCATTTCAGAATAAGGGCATTAATCAAACACAAAAAAATCATTATCTATAGGCCATTTATGGATACTGGTTGATCACACACACACTCACAGTGCAGTAAAATTGAAAATATTCAGCACTTAGGAGAGCTGTAACAACAATGATATTCCATTTCCAGCCTGCAAGATCACCAGAACATCCTAGCTTGCCCCCCAAAACTTAAACATGTCAGCTATTTGCCTCGCGCTTCACTTCTCTCTGTCAAACTTTTTTTGGGGGGGCTCGTACGTTCCATCACTACTGTCCCAAAACATTCAGCAAAGCAAGAGCAGAGTCCATTGTTATCCTAACATAAATAGCACAGTTTGAAATATTCTTTCATGTGGTGTCCTATTCTTGACAACTAATTGTAGCATATATTAGATTCAAAGTCCCTTAGGTGCCTTAATGAACCAATCAGCCATCGTGTTCAAAATCTGGACCAAACCGTGCTTGTGACTGGCTCAGAGCTATCAAAGCACTTTCCAGAGGCATTTTGGGTGGGTAGATCACTATAAAGAATTGACCAAAACCACAATTAACCACGCATGAAAATTCTCTGCCACCCAGGGTATGATCACCTAAAATAACAACAACATTTTGTACTTCTAACACTCACCAAGCATTTGTTTGGGTTTGCATTATCTTTTGCTCCGACATAACCCAAAATTCCACTGATAAGGACCTACCAGGAGATAAAAAGCACACATTATTCAAAATGCCTAGGCTAAGCTTACATGAAATGAAAAGATACACTATGACAAAACAACAAATTCAAGTTCAATTCCTGTTCTGAGCCGTCTGTGTCACAAATTAACAAAGATTGTTTCTCATCTATCACCGGGGTTAAAATTCACCATTCAGCTTTATAACCATCACAAAGAATTATTTTGAGCTTAACTTCCCTAGGAATTTTATGTTGCATAACTTCATACAAAAAAAGAAACAATTCCAAAAAGGCTTGGTTATGTGATGGCTGAGAGAGAATTATCTTGTTGCACTGATTTTTTGTGTTTCTTTCCATCTCTAGTTTCTTGTGAAGTGTTCTTGTTATTCACTGAACCTAAATGGAATGGGTTTTCTTGAGAGGAGACAACTAAGAAATCGTGGCAATATGATTAAGAAAGGTACAATACCAATGACTTTTTGTGAGTAAGCAAATGACCTCCACAAATTTCACATAGATTAATTAACAAGGAGTCTTCTTCACGGTCCTCTACTGCAAACATGAAAACAAAACTACCTGCTTTACCTAAGACCCTGACAGTCGTACAACAACCAACAAACAAATTATCACTTTCAATGGAAACATGACCATTTTTGGCAGAAGTTTAAGGTGAATATTTTGCCAGTCTGATCCGATCCGAGTGATTTGATGTGTTGCTATGTCCACCTCAATGTGTTATCAATCAACTACTCCCATGGTCCCGCAGTGATCAAGTAGTCGATAATTCTACTAAAGGTTCGAGTTATCAAGAGTTCAAGTTATTGGGAGTTTGGAGCAAACAACCAAAAATAAGGGAAAAACACTTTTACTGTACAGTGAACATTACAACATGTAAAACCACATTAAATTGTACAAATGTCAAGTGAAAATAGAACAATTCTTCCAGATTATTAACCAGAACACAAAGTAACAAAACAGGGCCTTAAGAAGAGCGCAGGTTTTTCAAGCACTGTTTTGAGAAGTAAAGCTGTTTCACGCTCGATGGAGAATCAGCACGAGCCTCAACTGACAAACAAATTCAGTGCTTTGGACTGCAGTACACTGTTTTTTTTTTTTTTTTTCTCCGACATGTCTTGCTCTCAAAACATGGTTCCAGTTACTGAGGGTAAAATTACAGTAAATGAAATAAAAATGAAAGAAATCCACAGGAAATCAATTTTGGTTCGAGGTTGCGTGAGGTTTAAGTTACATTTGTAGCAAGGGTAGAGTTACTGGGAGTCAACTGTATACTACAGACCTATTATCCTGTAAACAATGAAACTATAAATCAAGTAAAACATAACAACTGATCCTAAAATCCTATTGTCGATTTATATTGTAACATCAGGTAAGTAGAATGGCTGCTCTTGCAGTCCCATATGCGCAGTTCTGGAGTTGAGAAATGATCCCTTAATTTTACTTAAAGGATTTACAAAGATGCATATGGAGCCTGACTTGATTTTTGCACTTTTTATGTAGATTCTGACGACTGCAGGACTGCGGAGGTAGCTTTTCAAAATGTGTAAAAAGAAGCCGGCCTGGAAGATGCAGAGGATGAAAGCAAAAGTGCTTGTGCAGAGTTGCCATGTTAATGCTCCTGGGGGAGGTACTTCCTTATAAGAGGCTAATGGGATGTGCCGCTGGATGGGGTCACATTTTGACGACTGGATTGACTATAATGCAGTCACATTTTCAATAGAGTTACTAGAATGGGGTCGCACATTTTCTGATTTTGGGGGTTAGACAGTTCTTCATATTTATGGTATGCAAACGTACCAGAATGTTGTACTGTAGTTGAAAAGTAAAGTGTTCTTCATTTAATATAAGGTAGATACACAAATAGAAAGTGAATAAGTTGGGATCGCGAAAATTACATATTTGCCCAGAAGTGACTAAGATGGGATCTATAATTGGCCACAGAATAAACTATAATGGGGCTCTGAGAGGCCAGCAGCATTTACCAAGCAAAAATTAACCCAAGTAGCCCCCCTAACGCTGCGTCCAATGACGTAAATTTACAGCTGCGACGCTAAAAATTAACTTTGACCGAGGAGGCTGCTCGTAGATTTTACATGTAAAGAAATCCCACTACATTACAAGTATGAAAACAAAATTCAGTATTAACAAATCACCTCTAACTGGTGTCTAATGCGCGTATTGCAAGCAGAGCACTTTTAAGTTACAATCAACCAACAACTTAGTTCAGATAATAAAAACCAATATTAAACTTGTAAACAGACATCCATTTTGTATCCCATCCTCAGTTTTCTGTGAAATACACCAAACCACCCGAAGTGAACGAAAAATGTCTTGAATCTTCCGTTTGAGCTAAAAATTGCGCATCAAGTTCCTTCAACTTAAACTATATAGTTTCGATTCCTTACCCAAATGCCGACCCATATTCCAAAACCAGCGTAGGAAGACCAGTGATGTACAGCGATAAGGCTTGCAATACCAAATACTATCATTAAAGAACCAAATACAAGCTGAGTGATGGCTAAGCCTCGGAGAGCAGACGCTCGATAAACCATGACTGCAATCAAAATGGCGACAACGCTCTTCCTTGCATGACCTTTCCTTGACTACCCTTCGAGAATAATAACATTGACGCAGATTCGTCCCCAGGGCACGAGGTTGAACATTGACGTCATGTTTAGAAGAGGGTAATACTGGGGAGGGGTAGCTGCCTGTATGATCTTGAGGCAGACCAGGATGAGTATCACAATTTTAAATAGCCTGCGAAGCTGGCGGTATTGTGTGGGTGCGAGATTAAAGTTTTGAAGGCTAAATTTTAAAATTCAAGAAGCAGGTTCTTCTCAACGCGAGCCTCAACGCCGGTATAAAATTAAACTGACTCGTCCCTTCTTGCTGGATCTCTATTGTAGAGATTCTAGAACCAGAGGTCACTCGAAGTGGAAATTAAAACAAACCTGAATGCAAGAGTCATGCAAGGCGGGCAATACCGAAAAGCATGGCTGACTTGTTTGGCACAAATATTTCGGCTAACAAAATTACTATACCTCTAGTCTGCTACACAGCCGTTTTTAGTGTCGTCACGCAACGCTCCTCCCCAGGAGGAGGAGGGAGGAGGTGAGTTGCGTGACGACACTAAAAACGGCTGTGTAGCAGACTAAATTACCTCCTGAGGAAAGCTAATTTTGTAAACCGAAATATTGGCCTCGGATGCTGGTAAATCAGCCCTGCCAGCCTTGCATTCAGGTTTTATTTTGAGCAATCCAGCCCGCATGTAGCTAAGAATGAATGAAACTCCTAAAAAGAATAAACGATGCCAATTCTCCTTGTAGCTCCTTGTGGCCTGTGACGGACGTCAGCACTGAGGTAAAGGCTCACTACGCATGCACAGCCTTTTCTGGCATTGTTACGCGTTCAACGCATAACGAAGCCCTAAAAATATTTTTGTAGTGAGATTCTCCCCTGCCTTCGACTTCTTTTTTTCTTTACTTAAAGAAATAAGCTTAAATAGTTTCAGATATCTGAAACATGCGAGGGCTTGAAATTCACACGCATGTCTTTTAATTGTTTCACGTGACTTAACTTTCTTATTACTAGTCATGCCAGCTATCTCCCTCAAACCATTGTCTAATGTCTCTAAGCTCGTCCGTTTTCTATAAACCCTATGCCGACCACGTCTAAGCCATTGTCGTTTGTCCCAAAAAATTCTTATTTAACACAAGACAGGAATGATGAATTTAATTTTTCCGCCAGTACATTCAGCGTGGGCCTTCGAGTTCTCGGATGCAGGTCGCTTGATACTGAAGGCACTCAGGGAATTGTAGGGACAGTTACTGAGCTCATATTATCGCGAGACAATACAGCAGTGATACAATGGGACACGGGAACTAAGGAAACGTACAGTGCGGGGCATCACGACCAGCAACAAATCTTTGTTTTGGATAATGCGTCTATCGGTAAGATAGCGAAAATTTACTGTACTCGGTTTACAGCCGATAATTTGTAGGGTTTGCTTTATTTTGAAACGTGCTTTTATAGTAGTGAAGCTTGATACTGAATTGCAACCAGTTAGAAGCTTCCTGTTATAACTTCCATGTAACTGAAAAAACAAAGACATTTATTTCAGCTACTACTGTGCTTGTTTTGCCATTGTTCTATTTTTGCATACATAATAACTTCCGGCTTTAAGAAAGCGAAAGAAAAAATGACGTAAAAAACAGAAGCTACACTTTCCCTCTCACCTCCATTTCCGTGTACGCATGCGGATCAGATTGTTCCAGGTGTTTGGATGATGGGAAACTGGCCATTCTCGATTATCAACAGATTCTCATAGAAAACAGGCCAGCTCCTATTAAATGCGGACACTTTATTTAATAAAGTAAACCCCAGGGGGTATTCAACAAATGTTTGTACGTGGAGGCTCCACCCCGATCCGCCGCGAGGTCTAACCCCTTCCCTTTTATATACCATTTTTCACGAAAAAGGTAGCCCTTTCGTATACCTTCTATTGACAAATGGTACCTCTTTCACATACCTTGTTTAAAACTTTACATCCCTTTTAACTGCTGTAAATACACTGCCTTTTAAATAGGAATCAATCACAAAAATAGAACGTCCTCTCGACTTTACAAAGCCATAAAATTCATTTGTTAGCCAGTGTTCTCCAGAAGCCCGGGCGGTCGGAAGTTTCGCAGGCTACTCTTTTCCAAAGTGACGGTTAATTTTATTACTCAAAACATAAAAACAAACTGCCTGCACCTTTTGTCTTGAATTTTTCGGAAGGTCAAAAAGGAAACGAAAACAATAATTTATCGTAAATAAAAGCTCTTTGGTGTATGACAGTTTGCCTTTTGCTAATGGTATTATCGATAAATTCACCGAATGATTTTTCGTGAGTCATTGTGAGAAAATATTTTTAAATAAGATACCTTGGAATCAATGTAACACTTTGCATGCAAACAAGTGTTTTGAAAAAAAAGTGTACATTGCTACTTTCAACTAGGATTCTCGTGGATTGTGTAGCTGCCTTAAATTGGCCTTGATTTTCCTGTTGCTGTAAGCCTCAAAATTCATCACATTGCATCTCTGGGCCTCTATTTTTTTTTAATTTTCCAGTGAAACATGGCCCAACCACCCCCCCCCCCCCCCCCCCCCCCT